TTGGTTTTGTACACTTTAAGGAAACAGATCACCACCCCTTTTCTCCCACAGAAGAGCAGGGTGTCTTTAAACCATCAGCCTTTAGGTTAGCAGCCAGCCGCTGTTTATACTGGCTGCGCCACCCCACCGGGGCTCTTAATAATGAGTTTCTGAATATCTGAGGACACACCCATTGAAGTGTGAATTCTCCCTCGGTTATTTTCTCCATTGCCCTCTGGCCTCTAAGTCCCTCCAATGTGGCTGCATTCTATCCCAGCTCACCGCGCCGCACTCCCTCACTCCGGCCCTGGCTCTGGCGGACCCCAGGCACCTCCAACCTCCCTCTGCATTCACTCTTCCAGGCAGCGGCTGCTGCTCTCTCTCCCTGCTTCCAGCTCTGGTTATCATACTTCCGCTTCAGGCGTGGGATTGCAATGCTACCTTAGGGTTGCCTTCACAAAGCTCGCTCTCTCTCTCTCTCTCTCTCTCTCTCCCCCCAACCCCCCACTTGAGGGAGCACCAGACAAGGTCACAGTCAGTCACATTGTTGAAATGACTGAGCATGGAACGAAAAAAGTCCTCTGTGGTATTTTCTGGGTTTCAAATTCCTCACCTGCAAAATCAGAGCTCTGAGCACAATATCCAGTCATCTTGAGAGCCTACAAAAATGAATAGTACTGCAGTTCCTGTGAGTAAGCTAATCACAGGATTTACCTTTCTCTCTGGCTCACCTGGGAAAGCACATGCAAATCTTGCAGCAACCCGTGTGCACGCCACAAGAAGAAATGCGCCCTTCAAGCTCAGGTATAAGGCTTACTTCTCGGAAGTCAGTGCAGCTCATGACAAGGCGGCTAGTGCCGGCCCAATAACCACGACGTACAGGTCATGGTTTAGAAAGGCCTTGTCATCATTACTGGTGGTGTCTTTTAAATCAACTCATTGTTGGCGTTACATGAGTTTCATGTCTAGACTATAACAGAACCACTTAAAATTGATATCCAAATCCCAAGCAATATTCAGGCTTGTATTTGTTTTACTAGACTGTGTTTTACAACTATAAGTTATTATTGTAAAATCTCACTGTGTTGCATAAAAATATACAGAGAGGAACATTCAGAGGAGCATCCCACACCCCTGGGTAACTCACTCAGAACATCAGATGTGTACGAAACATGGCTCTGTGACAGGGACTGCTCTGGCGACAGGAATCTCTGGGAGGCATACAAAAAGTAATTACTTGGCCACTCAATGAAGGGTTGGGAGTTCAAGTCTAGCCATAGATGCCTCAGAAGAAATCACGAAGATCAATTTGCAACAGATCACAGCCATTGAAACTCTGTGGCGCACAATTCTACTTCGACACGCACAGGAACACCACGAACTGGGATGAACATGATACAACTAGTCTAACTACCGAGGACATGGGAGTGACCGGCCGTCAATAGTCCCAGTCCTCATGGAAGTCCTACTCTAATAATGTCGGTACGATTTATTCTTATCCTTAGCGCACAGATTTTACATATACAATTAACATAGAGGCCAACTAAAACGGGGTTTAGGCTAATGGAGCATTCTATAACATTCGAGATTAGTAGCAATAATAGCTCTTACTAAATGTATACCATGCCAAGCACTGTTCTGGGCACTTTACACATCTTATTTTGTATCATACTCACCAAAATGCTTGCTGTTGGCTGGTGTGGTTGAGTTGGTCCCAGCTCATACCTACCCCATGTACAACAGAGCAAAACGCCGTCGGGCATCGCGCCTTCCTGGTCATTGTTGCTGTGTTGGAGCCCTGAGGAGTACTCGCCATGCCAGGTCACAGATCGTGGGGTTTGCTCTCTTTTACAAATTGGGAAAATGAAACTTCTCCTAGACGCATTTTCCTAGAATGAGTTATAACTCATTTCCCAAAATGAGTTATAACTGTCTAAGGTAGCACAGTTACTAAGTGGCAGCAGCAGGCAAACTGGCTCTAGGCCTTATACTTTTCAACACTACGCTAGTCTCCGTCTCCAAATGTCTGAAGTGTGCGTTTAAATATTTGACTACTTTGGTCTTCCTAAGCTTGCCAAAGAGCCTTTGTCTCTGACATTCAGTGCCTTTGGTGATATATCAGAATGTTGCATAAAGGAAAATGGTTGCTAACTAATCATCATATTATCCTTCAGAGGGAAGAATGTGTGAGGAACTTCTGCAATTACAGAAACTCACATTTCCCTCAGTCGATTCGATCCTACACTGGCACTGTGCTAGGATGAGGAAACAGCTGTCTACAAGCTGGTCCTGCAGATGTTTCGGTCAGGCAAGAATATGACCCCTGAACAGTCACCAAGACTGGTGAGAGGACGAAGATGAATTCCAACAGCACAGCAGATGCACATTGCAAGGGGAATGAGACCTAGAATTGAATAGGGACTATGATGACCAGACGTCCCGCTTTTTGCGGGACAGTCCCGATTTTTGGCATTTTAAAAAGGTCTCGATTTTTGGAAAGAATGCACGACAAATGAGGGAATGGTCTATTTAGTCCATATAGACCAAATTTTTCATCAAGAACCCCCCACCCCACCCGCCCCCTGGTCAATGGTGTCCTGCTTTAAATCTGATCACCCTAGCAGAGTGGGCTGGAAAGGGCACAATAGACAAGTGGAACCAACTTTAAAACAAAAACTTTTAAATTGTGAATTAGGTGAAGGTGTACCAAGTAACTGGTCAGTTTTACATCTGATGGTTCATGCCCACGTTGGTGTCAGCACCCACTGCAGTATCTACAATGCCCCACCCCTTATCCTGCATCCTCCATGTGTCTCCGCCTATGCTAGCACTCTGAGTTTTGTCCCTACATAAAGGCCACCCTTTGGGTCCAAATGCTCGATGATCTGACACAAGGGTGAGTTCAGTTCCCGACCTGAAGGGTAACGAAGGGCCCTCGTCCTGGGGAGTTCATCGGTCTCTAGCTGACCGACCAGGGAGTCTGGTCTCTTTTATGATTTTGAGTTTTTAGAAGCAACCTTTAAAATCTCAGAGCCATTGATGACTTTGGCCAAAGTAGCGTGTGTGGAGTAGCAGCAGAGTCAGATTCCAATGGGTTAAACAGGCATAAAATAAGAGAATCGGTAGGTGTGTAGACTTTTCCTTTAAGAGAGAGACTAGAAACCCAAGAATTTCAGGATCAATCACCTCAGATTTCTCT